CCAGCCAATTTGCTTTCGAATGGTGTTTGATTCATGTCGATGTGTCGTCTAGAAGCATAGATATGGACGGAAACGTGAAGAGAATTAAAAAAAAGAACTGTTCTGAGGGCGTTGTTGGATGAAATTTGGGTGATACAGGGTCAAGACGGGTCAAAGGGGTCAGCCTCGGTCACTTTGGGTCAGGCCAGGTCACATAGGTCACCTCTCGTCCGCTGGGATCAGCCCGGGCCACTGTTCTGCTTTTGCCTCCACCCCTAACCCTACCCCTACCCCTACCCCTACCACTACCCCTACCACTACCCCTACCACTACCCCTACCACTACCACTACCCCTACCACTACCCCTACCACTACCCCTACCACTACCCCTACCCCTACCCCTACCACTACATCTACCCCTACCCCTACCACTACCCACACTCCTACCCCTACCACTACCCCTACCACTACCCCTACCACTACTACTACCCCTACCACTACCCCTACCCCTACTACTACTCCTACCACTACCCCTACCCCTACCCCTACCCCTACCACTACCCTACCCCTACCAACACCGCCGGGTCATGTCAGGTCACAGAATAATTGGATCCAATCAGTACTAAAACATCAGACTTAAAGTGTTCCCAGCCCTGCCCCTATTCGTGCCATTCCATTACGCTTAATCGTATTTGTCGGAAATGGCGTTTTGTGGCATATGTGGTGCATTGCGACAAACGCGGCGCATTTTCACCCGGCGATTGAGCATGCATCTTGGCACCAAATTGCACCCATATCGGACTATATTTGACAAAACTGTGCGATTTGCGGCAAAAATGACGCCTTGAGATAATTGTGGCGCATTGCGGCAGACGCGGTGCATTTGTAAATTCCTATCACAAACTGTTGCCATTCAACGAAAATCTACACAATCTCTCGCCACTATTTATTCAAATTAAAAAGTTGCCCATCCGCCAATGCGAGGCACCCGCCACCGATCGGCATGCATTTAGTCCACAAAGTTTGTCGACCCCGGCTCTAAATGAAGATCTACGAACCGATCAAAATTTCATTGGCGTTCTTCCGGCGCGCCCCACGCGCGAACCGTGCACCCCAGCGAGTCGGAACCTAGAAAAGGCGCTGACCCGTTCTGTCACCTATAAGGTGTGCAAATTTCAACCCCCTACGCCGTACCGTCTGCCCTGTAGCCGTAACAAATTGAACCCACTACACGGCGTGGCGGACACACACACACACTCACAGACAGACGGATTCTGTTGGAATAGTAAGTTAGACAAGCGGCTGCGCCACTTGCTTTGCTGCGTGGTAGGAAAAAAAATTGCGGCACCAGCCAATTTGCTTTCGAATGGTGTTCGTTTCAAATCGATGTGTTGGCTAGAAGCATAGATATGGACGAAAATGTGAAGAGAATTTTAAAAGAACTGTACTGAGGGCTTCGTTGGATGAAAGTTGGGTGATACGGGGTCAAGACGGGTCAAAGGGGTCAGCCCCGGTCACTTTGGGTCAGGCCAGGTCACATAGGTCACCTCTCGTCCGATGGGATCAGCCCGGGCCACTGTTCTACTTTTGCCTTCACCACTACCCCTACCACTACCCCTACCCCTACCCCTACCACTACCCCTACCACTACCCCTACCACTACCACTACCCCTACCCCTACCCCTACCACTACCACTACATCTACCCCTACCACTACTACTACCCATACTCCTACCCCTACCACTACCCCTACTACTACCCCTACTACTACCCCTTTTACTACCCCTACTACTACCCCTACCCCTACTACTACCCCCCTACCACTACCACTACCCCTACCACTACCACTACAACTACCACTACCACTACACCTACCCCTACCACTACCTTCTACCACTACCCATCTTTGCGTGGCGATTACTGGGCAGTAATCGCCACGCCATGTGTGGATCGCCCATGATTGTAAATACAATACAATACAATACAATACAATACCCGTACAACTACCACTACCTATGACTGGGTCATGTCAGGTGACGGAATAATTGGACTACAATAAGTCCAATCAGACTTTAAAAGTGCTTCTAGCCCTGCTCCAATTCTTGCTATTACATAACCCTAATCGTATTTGTCGGAAATGGTGCTTTGTGACAAATGTGGCGCATTGCGACAAACGCGGCGCATTTTCATCCGGTGATTGAGCATGCATCTATGCACCAAATTGCACCCATATCGGACCATATTTGACAAAACTGCGCGAGTTGCGGCAAAAATGGCGCCTTGTCACCAAAGTGGCGCATTGCGGCAAACGCGGTGCATTTTTATACTTGTATCGCAAACTGTTCCCATTGAACGAAAATCAACACATTCTCTCGCCTTTTTTTATTCAAATTAAAACTTGCCCCTCCGCCAATGCGAGGCACCCGTCGCCGATCGGCATGCATTTAGTCCACAAAGTTTGTCGACCCCGGCTCTCAATGGAGATATAAGAACCGATCAAAATTTCATTGGCGTTCTTCCAGCGCGCGCCACGTGCCAACCGTGCACCCCAGCGAGCCGAAACCTAAAAAAGGCGTTGACCCGCTCTGTCATCTATAAGGTGTGCAAATTGCAGACCCCTACGTCGTACCGTCTGCCCTGTAGCCGTAACAAATTGAACCCACTACACGATGTGCGGACACACAGACAGACAGACGGATTCTGTTCGAATAGTAAGTTAGATGTAGGAGTGGGATGTAAAAGAGGACATGATAGGTATCTCCGTCTTCGACCAGTTTGGTCTTAGCGATGCGAATAAATTCGCTGGGCTGATCAGCCGGGTATGGTAGTTCGAAGTTGGAGGGGAGTTTCTTGGCTATTCGACGCAGGAGTTTTTGGAGGTCTCGTTTGGGTATGAGGTTTTTGTGAAGGATCCCTACCTGAGCCAAGGCAAATTGATGGGTCAAAGAGCTTAGCTCTGCGTACAAATATTGAACAGCCTGAGTTGCGCTGATAATGCTGTTGGTAAGTTCAAAAAGCTTGAATGACAGTCGGATATCGTCAGTGTCATTCTGGATTGAAGATATTGCGTCCGCATAGGCTGCGTTGAGGTTGCGAATTGAACTAGTAAGTGACTGGAGAGCTAAACGATTTTCGTTTACTGCTATTCTCGTGGAGTTCAGAACTTGTAGGGTACCGTTAAACTGATGTGCCATCGCCAAATTCTTCTGGTTTAAGAGGATCACATTATTAGACAAGTGTTTAATTTCACTTTCGGTGGCTGTGCCAAACAGATAATTAAAGGCATTTCCTAATCCATCAATCAGACCGCGTTTTGTTCTACTTAATAGCTTATTGCCTATTTCAGGGTCATTGGGTGTGTTCAACGGATGAAGGATGTCAAGGAATGTTCGTTTCAGTCCTGCTGTTTCACTATGGAGTTCTGTTAGGGCATCATGTAGGTGATTACGAGCGAGCGAGCGCAGCGAGCGAAGTGAGTCTTTTCAATATAACGGGAAAATCTCAGTATGAGCGGCCCGGCCCGGCCCGGCCTGTAACGCTTTTGAGAGGCTTATATCTCAGCAACCACTGGACCGACTGGCCTGCGGTCTTTTTTGTTGGGTAGCCCCATCCCTTCTACCCCGTAATTGACTACTTTTGATGCATCTCAGTGACCGTCGTGGCACGTGCCACGTGAAAAGTCAAGGGTGTTCAAGCTGTTTTGCAAAAGTAGTGATTTTGAGAGGCTCATATCTCAGCAGCCGCTTGGGCGATTGACTTGCGGTAATTTTTGTAGGGTAGCAGCATCCCTTCCACCCAAAATAGGATACTCTCGATGTATGTGGGTCACCCCCAGTGCACGTGCAAAATACAACAATAAGAGGTGCCAAATTTGTTCCCATTTCAGTAACTCGGTAATTACTGGGACGATTTCGCTGAAACTTGGCATACAGGTAGGCACCCACCAGGCAATGCATTCCCATGTGTTGCGGTTAGGGTGCTACTGCACGTGCGCACGTGCAGGGGGCGTTTCCAGATCTCGAGAACGGCTGGGCCGATTGCGCTCAAATTTGGTACACGGTTGGGGACCAGTTAGTAGGGTGCCGTGCAAAAGTCATTTTGGACCCCGTTTGCACGTGCGCACGTGCAAAATGTCGCTTCCAGATCTCAGGAACGGCTGGGCCGATTGCGTTTAAATTTGGCACACCGCTAGCGACCGGTTAGAAGGGTGCTTTGCACAAGCCCATTGGAAGCACCCTCTCGCCCTCCCGCACGTGCAGGGCTCACTACCTCGCTCGCTCGTTCTTCGCCCAAAAGGCGTTTTACTGGTTTACATACATGAGAAACATTATACGTTTGGTAGAATTATCTACAGATTGGTGTTCTCTGTTTGCTACTTCTGTGACTATTTTGACCAATTTGTCTAGGTTCGTTTGCGTGGAGTGAAGGTCTTCCGCATGCCTTTTGAATGGTGCGATGCTAATCGAAATCGTTATTGCCCAAGAGCTGTAGCTCGGATACGTTTTTCCTACTGGTATGAACAAATAACCGGGGTCGTTCGGGGTGGTAGTGGTTGTTACCACACTAACTGTCGTGAGCCAACCTAGGAGTGCAATCATCGCGGGTTGCCACATGGTTACGCCTGCAACGATAGAGAATGCATCATCAGCCAAAGCTGGGAAACATGAGTTCTATACGAAATATAAATAGCAACATATTTGATACCATCGAGTGCCAATTTCGGAACAGATCATAAGATTTGTCCTCTTTCACAACTGGTTGTTGGATCATGGCAACACTGGGGTTTGGTGTCCCGGTGGACACGCAATCCAAATCAAACTGGACTCGTGGTCTTTTGTCAGGGGTCCGCTCGGTCGATGGGTCACGTTGTCTCTTTGGTACGTACCGAGAATTTGCATAACTAAAACCTTTTGGAGGAGGCTGAGTATCGACGGGGTCAGTGACTGGGCCCCGTGATCGTAGAGCATATCCATGCTGCGGCTGTTGTCCCTCCTGTGTACTCCTCTCTAACGATGGTGTCAGTTTACCGTGCTCACTGCGGTAGACCGCGCCCAAAGCCAGGGCCCCGGGTAGCCGGGTCGGGGCAGCCTGCGCTGACCCAAGCCGGGGCCGCGCGTCTTCCCGGTGTCATGGATAGCCTGGGGCTGCGGTGGCGTCAGCGCTCGGGCCGAGGACGGCCTGTGTGTCGGCAATAAACAGTCTGGAACCGACTGAGCGTCTGTGTACTTCAGTGGCGACGAGGACCGAACTCACGTGTGGTATGGCGCTGGCCCGGGCGCCCGAGTTCGACGCGGGTGTTGAGTGTTTCGGTGGTTATACTCGGAGGCTGGAACAGTATTTTGTGGCGAACGATGTTGACGCGTCACAACACGTGAAACGCCGCGCGATTTTCCTGAGTGCTATCGGGCCGGTGACGTTTGCGCTGTTGGAGGATTTGATCGCTCCGGCCTCAGTGACAGACGTGAAGTATGGAGACCTGGTAAAGGTGCTGTCGGAGCATTTTGAGCCGTCGCCGTCTCGGATCTTGGCACGTTACCGGTTTCATACGTGTGATCGCGAGGACGGTGCGTCAGTCTCAGCTTATGCTGCGACTCTGAGGCGACTGGCGCGGCCATGTCAGTTCAGCGCGGAGGTGCTCGACGAAATGCTCCGAGATCGGCTGGTCTGTGGAATCCGGAATCCCAGACTTCAGTCCAGACTGCTCAGCACGGAGGATCTCACTCTCAGCTCTGCGCTCGCGATCGCTCAGGCGTTCGAATCGGCGGCTGCCAACGCCAGTGAGCTGAATCGCAGCAGTCCCGTGTCATCAGAGCGAGCGGATCTGCAGCCCGTCCATCGGGTGGAGGAGCGCCGACCGCGGCAGAGTCCGTCCCGAGTGGCGGCGACGGGTGGCGCTCGAGCTCAGTGTCACCGCTGCCGGCAGAGAGGACACGAGCCGGCCGTGTGTCCGTTTCGCTTCCGGCGCTGTTTTTCTTGCGGGGAGGTGGGTCACTTGCGAGTGGCCTGCCGACGGCGCACGCCGGCGGTCCGGGCGGTTCAAGTGGAGTCGGCAGAGCATTCCACAGCTTCCGGTGCAGCTGCGGCGGAGCCGAGGAGCCCGGAGAGAGTGGAGGAGGATGTGTATGCTCTGTTCGGAGTCTACAGTGCCGGTGTCTCGCCGCTCTCGGAGGCCGCGGCCGCTCGCTCGGAGGACACAGTCGAGCGGTGCGCAGCTGGTGGCGGCGTGAGTATGGGCGCTGCTACGTTTGCTGCGAGTGAACCCCACGGGGGTGGCTCCGATGAGCCTATGGTCGGCGCTCTTGCTTCTGGCGCGGCGGCGGCGGCAGCTGGCAGTGGCGCGGGGCGCTCGGCTGATCGTGAGTCTGCCGGCGGGCCCGGCGGCGGCGTGCATCGCACGGAGGGAGCTGAGGGAGTGGCACCGAGGCGGCCTCAGCGCTGCGGGCCGTACATCGTTCCGGTGCGGCTGAACGGCAAGTTGCTGGAGATGGAGCTCGACACGGGAGCTGCCGTCTCCGTCTGCTCGGAGCGCGCGTTCAAGAGGCTCTGGCCGACCGGCGGTCCGCCCCTGGAGCGCTGTGAGCAGACTCTGAAAACATATAGCGGTGAACCGATCGGTGTGTGCGGTCAGGTGATGGTCGATGTGCAGTATGGTGACACATCGGTCCGTGTGCCGCTCGTGATCGTTCGCGGTGGCGGTCCGTGCCTGTTCGGGCGTGATTGGCTCGCTCGCATTCGGCTGGACTGGTCGTCAGTGTGCGTCATGGCGGCCAGCTCGCGGGTGGACGCGGTGCTGGCTGAGTTCCCAGACGTGTTCGACGGGGAGCTGGGATGCTTCAGAGGTGAGCCGGTCACGGTGGATGTCGATCCAGACGTCCAACCCCGGTTTTTCAAACCGCGCGTCGTCCCGTTGGCGTATCGGGATCAAGTGGAGCAGGAGCTGGATCGGCAAGTGAAACAAGGACTCTGGGAACCCGTCGCACATAGTAAGTGGGCTGCACCGCTCGTGGTGGTGCCTAAGGCTGGGGGAAAGGGTGTGAGGTTGTGTGGCGACTACCGCTTGACTGTGAATAAGGCGGCTAGGGCAGATCAATACCCCCTCCCTCGCATCGAGGATTTAATGTCGCGACTGACCGGGGGGACAGTGTTCTCGAAATGTGACCTTAAGTCAGCGTACAATCAGCTGGTGTTGGAGAAAGAGTCGCGTCAGTATCTCTCTCTGAACACGCCCCGCGGCTTGCTGCGGCCGACCAGGCTCAGTTTTGGGTACTCGGCAGCGCCGAGTTTGTTCCAGCGGACGATAGAGACGCTGTTGGCTGGCATCGAGGGCGTGGGAGTCTTTTTAGATGATGTGATCATCACCGGCCGTGACATGGAGGCGCATAACCGTGCCCTCCGGGAGGTTCTGCGGCGGTTCAGTGACGCCGGCCTCCGAGTAAACCGGGACAAATGCAGTTTCGGCGTGCCCAGTGTCGAGTATCTGGGGTTCAGGATCAGCGCGCGCGGTGTCGAGACGACTGAGGAGAAGGTATCTGCCATCCGTAACGCGCCGGAGCCGCAGAACGTCTCGAAGTTGAGATCGTGGCTCGGTCTGATCAACTATTATGCAAAGTTCATACCGAACTTGGCGTCCGTGCTCTCACCCCTGTACCGCTTACTGCGACGTGATGCACCGTGGGTGTGGTCTGAGACCGAGATGCGTGCTTTTCAGACAGCAAAAGAATTGCTGCTGAAACCCGCAGTACTGGCTCATTTTGACTCGTCCCTCCCCGTGGTCCTGACGTGCGACGCCAGCCCCGTGGGAATCGGGTGCATTCTGAGCCAGGTACATGGTGACGGCGAGAGACCGGTGGCATTTTACTCCCGATCTTTGAACAGTACAGAGGCTCGTTACTCACAGACGGACAGGGAGGGCCTGGCTGTGGTGAGCGGGGTCAAGAAATTTAATTATTTCTTGGCCGGTCGGTCATTCGTGATCCGCACGGACCATAAACCTCTGTTGGGACTGATTGGGGAACAGAAGTCGCTTCCGGTGATGGCATCGCCCCGTGTGATGCGATGGGCGATGCTTCTGGCGGGGTATGATTACCGGCTGCAGCACGTGGCGGGTAGTAAAATACCTCACTGTGACGCGCTGAGTCGGCTTCCCGTGCCGTGCCTGTCAGCAGAGTCTCCGTGTCCCGCTGAGCTCATAAACTTACTCGAGTTTCTCAACTCCTCGCCGGTCACCGCAGATCAGATCCGTCTTTGGACCGCCAGAGACCCGACGCTGTCCCAGGTGTATCAGTTTGTTCAGAACGGCTGGCCAGAGGTGGACGTAGAACAGGTTGAGCTCCGTCCGTATAAGGCGCGGTTAGGAGAACTTAGCCCAGGCCCATGTCGTCCCCTATCTCCCTGTGTGTCCAAGTGCACAGATGACGTCACACGAAGGGGCGGAGTCGGGGGCGGAGCCTGGCGCAACGGCCGCCATTTTTGAATTTGTTTTATTAGAATGTATTCTATATTTTGGGTTTCAGTCAATTGTTATCGATAGTTTTATGAACGGTTAGCTGTAATATAAGTGATTTATCAAGAAAAAACACATATTCTGCTTGCAGTTTCGATTTAAGTACGACCCGCGCCTAGATTCGAACGCACGATCTTTGGATTACGGCGCAAGCATCCTAACCACTACACTACCGCGGCGGCGTGGCGGCCGGCGGAAGGGAGGCTGCGGAGGCATGGGGGCTTTTTTACGCGTTTTTGGAAAACTAATGGGTTTCGTGAAAAACGCTTCTTAGATAATTCGAAGAAAAATGTCTCGGCTTTCCGATGATGCACTTAGTTTTTTGCTAGCTTTAGCAGAGTTTGTTCTACAGCGCTTCGAAAATCGCCCATTTGCATAGGACTTAAACGGGACTTCAAGACTTGCCCCCAGATGACGTCACGAGCTGACGTCACGATCAGGTAGAATCGCCGGACGACCCTACCTGGTATATAGGGCCTTGACTTAGCCTGCAGGACGGGTGTGTGATGTGGGGGTCTAGGATCGTCATTCCGCGGCAGGGCCGGAAGGCGGTCTTGGAGTTGATACATGAGGGACATAATGGGGAGAGCAGGTCCAAATCGTTCGCACGCATGTACGTTTGGTGGCCCGGGATGGATGGCGAGATCACGGATACGGTGCGTAAGTGTGTCGCGTGTCAGTCGCAGCGTAACCGAGAGCTTAGCTCGCCGCTGCACCCGTGGGCCTGGCCGGCTGCCCCGTGGGAGCGTGTTCACATGGATTTCTGTGGCCCCCTGAATGGACATATGTTTCTGGTAGTAGTCGATGCGTTCTCAAAGTGGATGGAAGTGTGTCCGCTGCGAGCGGCGACCACAGAGGCTACAGTAGAAGCGCTCCGTGTTCTATATGCCCGGTGGGGGTTGCCGAAAACCGTCGTGTCTGACAATGCTCAATGTTTTGTTAGCGCTGGTTTTAAAATGTTCTGTGAGGAGAATGGTGTTCGGCACATTACCACTCCGCCATACTCGCCAAAGTCCAATGGCTTGGCCGAGAAGTCTGTTCAGACGTTTAAACACGGGTTTACTCGTCAGAAAACCGGTAAAGTGTCGCGTTTTTTGTTTAAATACCGTGCCACCCCGCATAGCACGACTATGCGATCCCCGTCTGAGCTGTTTCTCGGTCGGCAGTTCCGGACGCATCTGGATAGCCTGCGCCCGGAGTTGCGTCGACGTGTGGAGCAACGTCAGTGCGCTCAGAAGAGCTCGGCGGACCGCGGGGCTAAGGAGCGCCACTGTGTGCCCGGTGATGCCGTGTACGTGTCGGCGGTGGACAGACTGAGCGGGGTGGAGGGAGTGCGTTGGCTGCCAGCGGCTGTGGTAAGCCGCAAGGAAACCGAAGTGGTCGTTTGTTTGGAGAGTGGGAATTTGTTGCGTAGACATGTAGATTGTGTGAGGATGCGCGTGACGAACGGGGCGGAAGGGTTTGATGATGTAGAGTTAGCACCCAGTGTTGTGCCGGCAGCTCCGCCCGCTGCAGTGCCATGTGATGTACCCGTCGGCGGCGACCGTCCAGGCCGGGCGCTCCGGTCGAGCGACCAGCGCCGGGCGCCCAGGCGCTTAGGCTACGATAGAGATTTCGCCCAAATATCTGTGGTGGAGGTATGCGGTAGACCGCGCCCAAAGCCAGGGCCCCGGGTAGCCGGGTCGGGGCAGCCTGCGCTGACCCAAGCCGGGGCCGCGCGTCTTCCCGGTGTCATGGATAGCCTGGGGCTGCGGTGGCGTCAGCGCTCGGGCCGAGGACGGCCTGTGTGTCGGCAATAAACAGTCTGGAACCGACTGAGCGTCTGTGTACTTCACTCACCATTCTCGGGTAAGTATGGCGAGTTAACATCGGGACTGGCGGTTATCGTCAAAGGTTGTAGCGGACCTTGTTGCTCTGCATTCTCTTCGTCCATTTGGGTTTCCACTTGTGGATTGGTGACGAGGGGTGTGTCCGGGAATTCAACCGGTGTCGGCTCGTAACTTGCAAACCAATCTCGATCGCTGTAGGGAAGGCGAGCAGCGCGGAGAGGTTGTTGTCGAACTGGCTGTTCCTCCGGCATACCACTTACCTGAACAGGGCGTCTGATTGACTGATACGACCTGTCCCATACGTCGTTGGAGTCCCTGATCCTCAAATTTTCTGAGTGCACTATTTTGGTTTTGCCCGTGATCATGTTCTTAATACAATAATTTTCAATTCCCAATTTGGAGATGACACGGAAGTGATTTTTCCATGGTAGTGATAATTAAGACGAGTCACCTGGTGGTATCGAGGGGTCAAAATAGAATACCAGGTCACCGGGTTTAAAGTTAGAGGGGGTGGCTGAGCTGGCGATGAGTGACTTGTTGTGATCCCTAGCCTGTTGGATGTTGCTAGCCACTTCTGTGTACGCGTTGTGTAAACGTTCAAACATGGCTGGGACGTACTCTTCTCCAGTATAGCGGTGACGAGGCTGAAGGAGTGTGTCAACAGGTAGTACAGGGTCACGGCCATACATAACGAAATAAGGCGAGAATTTGGTTGATTCATTTTTGCTCATACGATACGCTCCTAAACATGGTTGTAATATCTCGTCCCACTTTGTCTGATCTTCACTGATTTGTTTTTGAATCATGTCATTCATGCAACGATGAAAGCGTTCGGTTTTCCCATTTGACTGTGGGTGATAGCTAGAAGTGTGGATCCTAGAAATGCCTAATTCTTTGTGAACTAAATCCACTAGTGCGTTGCAATATTCTGTACCTTGATCACTGATCACCAGGCGAGGGCATCCATGACGCGGAATGAATTGATCCAAAATGATACGTGCGATGGTATTTGCAGACTTGTCTGGGATGGCGTACGCCTCTGGCCATCCACTGAAATGATCCACAATCGTGCACACATATTTGTTTCCCCTTTCTGACACGGGAAAAGGTCCACACGTATCGATACCAATAATTTCCATTGGTGCTGAAGACATAGGCATGTCCTGCATTGGTCGCCTTTCCTTCACCAGCTTTTTCCGTTGACAAATTTCGCATGACTGGACGTACTGTAAAACATCCTTCAAAACACTTGGCCAGTAATATGACTTCAAGACTTTGTCTGTGGTCTTTTCAATGCCTAAATGACCACCGAGATACCCGTCGTGGGCTCCTTCCAAGACAGTTTTCCTCAGAGTTAACGGAATGACAAGCTGCTTTTTAGCGAGGGGCCGTGTTTTTGTGCCTTTCTCCAGGTGGTATAATAAGCCATTTTCAACAAAGTACTGGGTATTTTGTGATTTAGCTGCGTCATTTTCTAGTTGTCTGATGATATTCTGCAGTTCTTTGTCTTTCTTTTGAGCTTTTCGCAATGATTCCATACTAAAATTGTGATAGTCTAGTGGTTCAGGTTTTTCGTTGTCAATGGCAATCTCAGTACTTTCACGACTGGCGACATTGTCTACCACATTTACATCAGCTTGACCTCCTTGCCAATCTAAGTGACAGTTGTCGTTTAATTCGCCGGCTACTGGGGTATGGTGGAGTCTAGAGTGCATGTCCGCGGCTGCGTTTTTCGGACCAGAAATATACTCGATTTTACAAGCATATTCTCCAAGAATGATAGCCCATCTTTGAATGCGCGGATTTTTCATTTCACTCGTGAACAAATGCTTCAGAGGTTTGTGATTAGTATATATCGTGATGTCGGTTCCAATCAGAATAGGGCGTAATTTTTCCAAGCTATAAATGATAGCGAACGCTTCGCGTTCTATAGTGGGCCACTTCTGTTTTTGATCTGAAATTTGATGGGAGATGTACTGGATGACTCGATCCATGCCTTCTTGCTCTTGAACAAAAACTGCACCCATCGCATACTGTGATGCGTCGGTGTATAATTTGAAGGGTTTTGTGATGTCTGGAAACGCGAGAACTGGAGCTTGAAGCAAGGCTTCTTTCAATGTTTCAAACGCATTTTGAGCTTCGTCCGACCACTTGAAACGAGCGTTTTTCTTGGTGAGGGATGTCAATGGTCGTGCGATCTTACTGAAATTTTGTACATACTTGCGATAGTACGATGCCATTCCAAGAAAACTGCGAACTTCGTGGATATTTTCGGGCGCTTTGAGATTTCTCATGACTGCGACTTTTTCAGCATCCACTGAGATGCCTTGATCTGAAATGACATGACCTAAGTAATTTAGTTCCTTTTTAATGAATTCGCATTTTGAGATTTTGAGTTTGAGGTTGGCCTTTCGTAGGCGATTCAGAACTTCCTGCAGATGCGTGATATGCTCTTCAAACGTTTCGCTAAACACAATGATGTCATCAACAAACGCTAGGGCAAAATGACAAACGTCTCCTAGTACAGCATTCATGCAATTTTGAAAGATTGCAGGCGCTCCCGTAGTTCCAAATGGCATCTTGTTGAACTCATACACGCCTGATGCTGTTCCAAAAGCTGTCTTTTCTTTGTCTTCTTCTTTAATGGGAATCTGCCAAAAACCTTTTTTCATGTCCAAACAAGTTCGGAACTTAGATTTGCCTAGTGCATAAAAGATGTCTTCTGCTGACGGTATACTAGCTGCGGGTCGCACTGTGATAGCATTGATTTTGCGAAAATCTACACAAAGTCTCATTGTTCCATCTTTCTTTGATACCATGATAACTGGTGATAGCCAAGGAGAGTTACTTCGCCTGATTACGTTAGCTTTCAACATTTCCTGAATTTGATCTTCCAAAATATCTCGATAGGCTAGTGGCGGTCTGCGTGGAGCTTGATACGAAGGTGGGTGATTTTGGGTGTTGATCGTCATTTCCGTTACGTTAGTAGTTGTTAATTCTGAATCTTTTTGCACAAACACATCTAGGTTCCTTTTCAAAAGTTCTGTGAGAGGTCGCGTTGATCCTCCGGAATATGATTCAGATTGAAAGTTGAAAGAATGTCTGAAGGACTTTCTGTTGGTTGTGACCCTCATCTGATATTGTAGAGATGCTGGGTACTGGGTCCTGGGCTGTTGTAGCAGTTCCTAGCACTTGCCCTTTTCGGAAATGAACTTGTCTACCTGTTTCATTTACTATAACCCATGGGACATGGTTGCTTTTTGAAACTTTCACTAACGCATTGGGGAGCAGAAGACCTGGTTCGTTTTCGAAGCACGGTGATGAAACTAGTTGCGAGACCACAAAATTTTTGTCCGACTGCTTCCTTTTTGACATGAAGCACTTCACTTGTACCCCTGAACGTGGGAAGACGTCTACGTCCTCCGCAAGTCTCACAAGGTTGGTTTCTGGTTTGCTTGGATCTGGTTTTTGTTTCAACGGTTGCACGACTTTTCCCATTTTGAGGATTTGAGTTTCGAAATCAATGACGGCTTTGCGGGCTTTCAAAAAGTCTACGCCAAGGATCATATCATGCTTGAAATCTTTGACCACGATGAAGTCATGATACATCCTGACCTTGCCTAACGTAATACGGATTTTGACGCTTTCTGCTGCTTCTAATACATGTCCGGTTGCTGATCGCAGAGAGACATTGGGTGTGTTTTGGGAAGATTTGATAAGTTTTGGGTCGCATAACTCTAGGAATTCTTTGCTTACCAGGGAGAGTTGTGCACCAGTGTCCAAAAGAGTCCTAAATGGGTGTGTACCTATGTGAATGTCTATGTAGGGGCAATCCTGGCTTACCTGTAGTACTTGAATTTCCTGCTTTGTTTCTTGAGTTTTCTGTTTTGTCTCCCGAGGGTGAGGTTTTGCTAGTTTCCCTGCTGCTGACGGGGTGCTTCGTTGTCAGCCCTCCTTTTGCGACACATACGCTGGGTGTGTCCGGCTATTCCGCAGTAATAGCAGATGGGTCTGTCGTCGTCGGTCCAACGGTACTCTGGTCGTTGTGACCTTCCATTTGGTCCTGCTACATTTCTGTTGGCGTTACGGGGTCGCTGCGGGGTCTGGAAACGTGGAGGCGTTTGCTGGTACTGTTGCCTTACCTGTGGCTGGACTTGAAACTGGTTAGCTGTCGGTGGCGGTGGACCTGTTGTTGGTATCGGTGGCCTCATCTGTGCAGAGATTTGGGCCATGAGGACGTCGGAGATGCGTTTAACGTCACTGTCCGTGAGTCTGCTGGTTTCTTTGGACACCATGTCGCAGTCCATGGGTTCGGGTTCCTGTACCGTCGAGTGATTTTTGAAGAGGGAGAGATGGTCCCTTACCTGTTGTTCGTGAATGGCTAGTTTGAAGGCGTCGTCCTAAAGTTTTCGGCATCTTTCTAGCTACGTTTTCTTGGATACGGCGATCACGGAGTCCGTTGATAAAAGCATTGGTCAGAGTTTCGATTACCTCTTTCTCCTCCAGTCGGTCTGAATAGGCCTGTTGTCCTAGCTTTTTGATCCTTTCGGCAAAGTCTGACACGGTCTCGTTTGTTTGTTGGACGGCAGTCTTAATCCTTTGTTTTGAACGGGGCGCGAGATTAAGGTGGGAATAGCGAGCGGTAAGAGCGTTGTAGCAAGGGAAATTAGAGAAAAGAGGAAAGAAGGGATAAAAAAGCTGCATCTTTTCGGTCCCTCTAACAGCGCGGTCCACTGCTGTTCGGCGGTGTAGCAGAAGAGAGATTCGCTGCTGGAAGGAACTCGATAGTAGAGCTGGTGATACAGGGGAACCTGAGAGTCGTTGAAGAGATCCCGAGATAGAGATGTAGAGAGGGATCTTGATAGTGATGAAGATCCACCTGAGAGAGAGAGAGAGAGATGTTGATATCCAGCTGAGGAAGATGTAGGTCTAGATCCACCTTGCATACAAACACATCTGATGGAAGATGCTTTTTAATTTAGAGG